TAAAAACATAGATCGGTAAAAATGTAGTTTTTATTTAGGAAGCCACTAAAATGTCTACATATTCCAATTAGCGATGCCAATTTCAATCAAGAATGTTGTGTAGATTTCAAGATCACAGGGACTTTGGTCCGACAGCCTGACTAATTGTTGCCCGAGTATCAATGATCAAAAATGTCTACAAATAAAATCTCTTAAGTAATTATAGCGAAGAAAATCATGAATTTCTTACCTCTTTCGACTTGAATTCGCGAACTCCCCGAAGCAACAGCAATCGGTATTCCCTTCCTTTTAGCTTCATAAACATAACGAAAAACGCACGGAATAGCCGTGACATTAGATAGTCCTTTTTGGAAGAAGTTTCTTTTTCGCTGGTAGACTTYCAGTGGATCTAGATCGATGCATTGATCGATTGCTAAGTCTTTAATGATATATTTGCCGGGTACACCCGCTAATCGTAAAAAGTCTTTTTGCGAGAATTGTAGMCCTGTCTCTGAGCAGATCTGACACCACGCTTTCCARTGWAGTGGCATAGTATCTAGCAATGTCCCATCACAGTCAAAGATAACAGCTTTGACATCGTCTGAAATCAGGTCTCGCCCTTCGTCGAGTATTCCTAAAACTGGCATCTCCTTGAATTTTATAGAAACGGTTATAATGTTGTGTATAAAAACGCCGGGTCAAATAGATATGGCCCGCACGCAACGGCTGTTTCGTTTAACCAAAATTTTCTTCGACTTTGATCTATAACCAGTTGTAGACTTTGTATCAACTGAACCCAAGTTGAAATATAATCCTAACTGAAGTTCCAAGGGTTGCGTGAACAATCATCATCTAAATGGACACAATCATAGGAAAATCCGTAGTATATCTCGGTCATGTAAGCGAGCACGGATCCATTTAACCACACGGAAACTTGTTTCTAAAACCGGTTTCAKAGGTTGATATGATGTTGTCACTTCCGTCACACTTCCATATTAGGATCGTTCGCAGGTGTGTCCTGACCGTGGCACTTGGCAYGTCTTCGTGATTTTAAGTAGTCAACATTGAATTCAAAAATTCGAAATATCTTTCTTATTTCTTGGACGTCAACGCAATTCGCTGAAGATAGCTTTTTATTAATTTCAGTTTGTGGTTAACTCGTGGATAGTGCGGTGTCATTTTCTAACCACAAAACGTCCTTATCGGTTCTCAATCAAGCCTTCCTTTACTTAAGCTAATCGAAAATCCATACAAATGCACTTTAATACTCATTGATGMCAATCTACACTGTAGAATCTTGGCAAACTGGATTTTAAACCCACGACTCCAACATTTCCAGGCAATGCAGTCTCGCACGACTTGACAGATGAGTCCGTGTGACTCATTGCTAGGTTTGAGCGGGAAATTCTCATTTTTCGCAAGGGAGGGGAGGTTCCCGAAAATGTTTTGCAAATTCCCCCCAAAATCTTTCTTTCCCCAGTCTGCTTTGTTCTAATCAAAAAGAATCGTAAAAACTACCATATTTTTTAAGGATCTCCTGATATATTCGTTGATTTAGCGCGCAATAAGTTAATTTCAGCGCAATTCGCTGTTTACACGCCCATGAACAATATGAATATTTTATACCTCGGTTGCTATAGGAATATTTAAATTGGAAAGGTTAAAAACTTGTTTAGAACCAGTTATGAAAAATTCTTTCGCGTACGTGTTTAAATTCATGTTTTCAGCGAAAAAAAGAATAGAAAAATCTAGACGCAAAAAAATGAAAAACATTTCACTCTGAAATAAAACACGTCCGTTCCAAAGACGCGAAATAAACGCATGCAGTTTACAATAAATCGATTTCTCTATCTAAATATAATAACAAAAATAAAGATTTGGAAAACAGATAAAAAATTTAGGAGATAGACCATCAATCACGTGACCTACYAGTATAGGAACCTGTACAGAACTGGATGAACAGCTTTCTAAACAGGTTTGGTGGTCCAGTTACATATATGGTCCCAAAAACAGGTGCAGCTGGGCTGTGGTTTCTATCTTTTAACCATAATCGCATTTGAACGCTGTTTGGGTGTAAATGTCTAGGCCTTAACGCAGACTCTCTTTTTAGCTTGTAGCCGTAAATGTTTCAAACTCAGACAATAAAAATGAAAATCGTATTAAAATTTAAGAAAATCCAAACTTTGTTACGACAGTGTAGTTCGTGGATATCGCAGACTAAAAGGAAACGCTGAATAATAGAAAAAAAAAAACACAAAGGAATAATTACGGATACAGACACGAAAAACACTTTTAAGTTATTATACTAGTAGTTAGAAGCAGACGTTAATTTGCGTTTTTCTCGTCTTTCGACTGGACGAAAGCACTCCATCATTTACATAGTACTTCAATTACTCCCACCACAATAAAACGTGCTCAAAACTCCACAAAATTACCTTTATTTTTTATCTTTATGTATAAAATATAATCTAAATGATTGACATTTCGCTATTTTCCCTTCCCTACCATTCTCTAATTCAAATAWCTTCTGTCCTCTTTCATTCAAGTGACAAAAACAAAAAGCTCTAAATGCTTCTAATTCTTTCTACTAAAATATTCTATGAAATAAATATTTCCATATGCATTAACTTAAAACTTTGCTGCAATGGCATTTAGCGTCTTTACATTTTCAAATATAATGTTGCTAGTGATATATCATAGATTGATAAGCATCAGATTCCATGCCACTATAAATTAATGTYGATACTAAACAAATACAACTTGTGTGACATACATGCAATGTACAATGCTGGCAATATACAGATAAAGTATGTGTATTACTGTGGTGTATTTTAAAACAGAGTKATTTTCTATTTAACATGAGAAGAAAATGACTGTTTAGTTGACACAAGTTGATGAATAACACTTCAATTTATCCACTCAAGCTCTTAGCGCTTAGAACAGTTGGATAAGCGCTATATAAATAGCATTATATTATTATTATTATCTTACTAACAACCTTACTATTCCTACATAGTCAATAGAACATCACTCCAAAGAATATGATTTTGTGCATGATTTCTTAGTAGTGATTATGATTGATTTCTCCAAATCCCTTCACCTATTCATGTTAGTCAAGAGTATGCGTTAAGAAGCCAAATAAYGTGCACTCAGAAAAAAACTATCAGAATGCATAATTTGCAATATAGATTTTTATGAGTGTAGTGAGCACTTAAAATCAAAAGTTATCATTTAAATGAATTGTCATCCTAAGTAATAACAATCATTAAGTTAACTAAGATTATTAAACATTGTAGTCATATCATGTGTATTGTAAAGCTACCATTTAAGTGTCAATAAACAGGGAGATATATTCTCAGAATGCTATCTACATGCAATATGCATTAAAAATATTCAGTAAGTSTCATTATTCTGTAAGAGTATGTCAATTAGTTCAGCAGAACCCGAAAAGAGCAGCATTGGTAATATATTATTGAAGCGCCTGTGATAGTGGTAATTTTTACAAAGAATGTATATATATTTGAGATAAAGCGTAACCAGTCTATAGCTAYTTCTCACCCCTCCTCCCCTGGGGAAAATCTTTGCTGATCTTTCCCCATGGGGGGAATGGTGGGAAACATCTGTACACTGAGTTGTCTGTCGATGTAGCATTTKTAAGAAGTTCTACTATACAGGAGTACTGGTAATCAAAAGCAAAACTATCAAACTATCAATTTAATTAATGATATTTATGTATATTGAAAATTAAATGAAAATCTTTCCCAGTGAATTCATTCCTTAGCTCTCCTTCCCATCCCAGATGAAGTGTTATAATGTACTGGTGCTATCCAATCGTTAGGGCTCGCCGAAGTCTCCTGCTTGATGTAGCTGGTGTTTCCAKGTCGATAATTGGTCTCTGGTCTGGGTAGCCTGGCATTAATCGTACRTCAATAGCCTTAGAGAAACCTGCTCGTTTGATTGACTCCAGTCCAATGTCACTGAAAGAAAATATTTATATATATTTCATGAAAATCCCTTTTTACATTCAAGCTCCACTAGTTCCCAAAAACTAGCAAATAAAACAGAAAATGTGTTCTGGAAAAAAATTGCTGAACTTAGTCTACTTCAAAATTATCCATAATTTTCTTTTGTTAAGGAGGTTAAAAGGGAGATTAAGTCTTGATTTTATTCAAAGTAGCATAAACAGGTTTAGACTGCATTCTTATCATGCTGCTTTTGATCTCCTTGAATACAAAAGACAAACAATAAAAAAAACCAGCTGGAAAGACTTACGTATCTTCGAAGCCCCAGCAATCTGATGGATCAACACCAAGGAGCTCTGCTGCTTTTAGAAAAGCATCTGGATTAGGTTTATGGTTSAAGTAGTCTTCATTGCCAAGCACAAAGTCAAAAAGACTTCGAAGTCCAGTATTTGATAATGCTGTCAAGAAATTATGCAAAATATGTTTTAACAAGGAACTTGGAAAAAAAAATCCCCAGTGCATTTGATAAAATCATGTTTTTGAAGATTATCAAATATTATCATTAATTCACTTGGTATATTCACTACAAGATATAAAAAGTTTTTGACAGAATTACACGATTATTACAGAAAGACAGAAAAATAAARGGTAATGACGTGATGATATTAATGACATCACTGTCCATTGTTTCATGGATATGCATGAATAAAGATTTTSGCAAAAGTGCTCTCTSAAAASGGATAAAAACGCACAAAYATATYTACAACCATTGAGAAAATGKGTARATTTGTCAAAAATTATGTTTAAATTTACTTTGAAGCTTTGCGTGAGACTTTGCTATYGAACTTTATAGCTTTCTAAACGAGCCCCCAGCAACGCCCCCTTGACGCCCACGCAACAAGCTTCGTGGCACAAAAAWTATAWTWTYTTCGCAATTATTACACATTGCTCGATKTTAATCGAAAGAAATTCGTAYCCCTGTTTTYAAATCATCAAAACTACTTAAATATCCGAGCTTCYATCGAAATTTCGAGGAAAATTGACTTGATACGTGACGTTTTCAGCGAAAATTTCTAGGGTATTCATAGAAGTTGGACTTTGGACTTAGTCTTTGAAATTATAGGAAGCGAAGCTCCACGTTACAATCGACCTTATAACGGCACAAATCTTGATTTAAATTTAGATGAAAGTCTTGAAGTTCATGTGCAAGGCTTGATTAAACGAAATTTTTTTTTTTTTTTAATAAAACGGCACAACATTAAGAGAAGGAGAGAGATCGAGGGTCGAGGAGAAGAAAGAGTACTGGCTTGGATTGTAATATTAATCTTTAGAGAAAGGAAAAAATCCCTCGTTAGCAAGTTAAAACAAATACATTTGGACATATTTATGAGACAGAAGTTAAAAATAATCGACGAAAAAGTAGATATGCGATCTAATAACCAATTTCACAACTTATAAAATACCTTGCTCAACTTGCTTCCTTGAGCTTCCTGACGCAACTGCAACAGGAATGCCACGGTCGTTGGCTTCATGGACGTATTGCAAAACRCARTTAATTGGGACAACRGTAGAAAGTTCTGACARAAAATAGCTTCTCTTCCTCTCGTAAACCTCTTGGGCGTCCAACATTTTTCCTTGGTGAGAAGCTAGAACGCTGATGATCTTTTTCCCCGGAACGCCAGCCAAAACATAAAAGTCTTCCTTTGAGAAGTTGAGTCCTGTATCTCGGCAAACTTTACACCAAGCTCGCCAGTGTAAAGGCATCGTATTCAATAAAGTACCATCGCAGTCAAAGACTAACGCTTTGATATTGTCTGGAATAAGACTACCCGATCGTTGAATCATGCTGGTAAATTAAATGCAGTTAAAAGTTGTAGATGATCTTCATGAAGACGAGAACGCGGTTTCGCGCTCTTTTCAATAAAAAGCGGAAAAAAAGAAGGAAAACAAATCAGATTACTCGGAATGTGGCTTCATCTTKACACGAAAGGGTTTCGTTATCAAGTTTTCCTTGAAATAGGAAGACAAGGAAACTTTCAATAAAGAAAGGTCGATGTTGGAAACGACCAAAACAGAGACCGCGTGTTGATCATTACAAAACACAACAGTACACACCACCGTCGCGCCATGTCACACATTCCCATGTCACGCTGGAAAAACACTGGGACCAATCAGCAAACGACGAATGATTCGGATGATTGTGACTTCACTCACGTCCTTCAGTCTATGAATAGATTTTTAACATTATATTATATTACGTGTTTCAACGAATTCTCATACCTAGTAAACGATTGCAGATATCATGTGTAGAAATCGAAGCTCGAATYCAAGCGATRAAGCTTGGGAAAACATTGCATTCTACAATTAACGGTGCTTTGTTTTATTTTTCATTTCTTGTCGTTATCATTACCGATCCAATTAAATGCTAGATCTATCTTTTTATTTCAATCGTATGCAATGTTATGGATTCATTGTATTTCACACAACAAACTGGGTCTGAAAAATGCCCCCACTACCCCCACCACCTCCCCCTTCCCTACCCCCCTCATCATGCATGATCACATACGGAACAATATTAACACAATAACTGCGTATTAATTTCTACACAATTCCCSAAGTCTCCCATAGTGACAATATTATGAAACATGGCACAATCAAAGAATACAATCAATGTTGAATGTAAAAGATAAAATTCTTGCCTACTGAGTAACTATTTACGTAGTGTGACGACCTTGCGTGACGATTCGCTGAAGCATTACGTAAGRTCCTAACATAACAATTAAAACTATGCGAAGGAAACGCTTGAACAAATTGACGYAGTATTACTAATTGAGATTGAAACTATTTTAATACTCGATATGTTTCCATAGTTATATTGCAACACAGGAMAATTGTGGTCAAAAAGCTGTAGACCCAAACAGCCATAGTCGACACGCCCGTCTGRTATAAAACATCTGAAAGTCGCGACGGGCTGCCGTGCTTACAACTATAAACAATGTATGRAAAGGGGGGAGGGAATAAAAGCAATTTATGGGGGCTCATGCCAAAGTCGTTATGTCTTCAGCAAATAAAAAAAGGCGGAAGCTCCAGCTACTGACCCGCATACTTTTCTGATCACAACCATATATTTTGGCATGCAACCAAATGTATAAAGGCTCCCTCCTCTTTTTTTCACCCCTACCCCCTAGAGCCGCTATGCAGACAAATCAAAGTCTAAAGGTTGGATCCAACATAAGCTCAAAGTCCAATAACAAAAAAATCGTAATTTTCCACTCTACTGGGAACATCAACTAGCCATCGATGAGAGGACCTGAATAAAAATMGTCAAAAGACCCTTTKCAGTTATACAGCCCTTTTGCTCCCTAAGTACAGCACCTTTTTTGTTAAGTTAGGTTTTGATTTATTGTTTGGAAGACTTATCTAATGATGTTTGTCCATTGTTTTTTCTTAAACTATCAAGAGATTCGTTCCGATTGGTGCTGTCTGTTCCACTCTTTTGTTGAAGTCCTTCAGCAATTCTTTGCTGGTATTTTATACCAGAAATTATTTCAAGAAATTAGATTAATAYATATATACATTTCACAATCACAGCGGCAGCCGGAAAGGGTCTAAAAAAACTACACGTCAAGTAGTCAGAGGATTTCCTAATTTTTTTCATTTCAAATCAGCTAATTTTCTTTTAGAAAATATTCAGAGCCCCCAAACGCTTTCARAACACTATCAATATGTTGTCCTTTTTTATCAACCATGCAAATAGGACCAAATAGAATACGAGACAYAGACTTTAACTTTTTTACGCCATTAATATACACTCATTGTTTCTCTATTTAGACTGCCGGAGGTTTAATTTTTTAAGATCCTTTCCTACTACACTGGCTGCCGGACGTTTAGATAATAATTACGGCCAATTAATTCGGTTTGCAGATGAATCCAGGTGACGACTGATACAAGTTCAGCGGTGTTACCCCATCGGTGATAAGAACATTTTCGATTCCAAGACCTTGCAACATGTGCGCCTGGACAAAGTAYTCAAAATTCATGTTAACTGCCGGCAAGTACGGTACATTTTTTCGATTTAAAATATACATCGCGGCCTTAACCCTGAGTTGATCGTCACAAAAATCCCCGAAGGGTGATTCAAGGTCATTGAAGACTCGTTGGACATTACCAAAAGCAAACCATAAAAGAAGCCAATAAATTAGATGCAYATTTTTAAAGTATCCGTTGATAACATTTGATGGATGGCGTAAAGTTCGACAAATATACGGACAATGTTGAGCACTGATCGAGAAAGTGGGGGAGGGGAGGGCAGGGCAGGGCAGGGGGGGGGCAGGGGTTGGGGGAGAAAGGAGTGCTGCTCCTGTTACGTACCTGCGATTCAGGTCCTGCTAAAGCAATATTACTAATCGTGTTTGGTCCAATGGAATTAACCATCGACGAAAACTTCTGAACCTGTGAAAACAGAATACAGCAAAAGCTTTATAATAAATATTAACAATCAGTCGCAAACGCGATATCTACGCGAAACGGTTGTCATTGAGAAAAGTGGCGTTTGTCATCACTGTGCTGTTGCGGTTCTAGTAAGCGTACTTTTACAAACGCGTAAGTCATGACGTAAATTATTCCGCAAGTTTACGTTAACTCAAAAGCGGCCCCTTAGCATTTTCTATTTTCAAATTGCTTTGACGTTATGTCAACGCAAGGTTTACGTACACGTAAGTTAAAGCGCAATATATTTCGAAAATTATTGATAGAATCATTACCTGAATTGAAGCGAGCTTCTTGGCACGTTCCACTTTCAGTTCATTTTGCCGTTTTTTAAACGCAAGTTCGCCTTCACGTTTCTGTGATAAAAAAAGGAACAGACTTTTTTGGCTTCCTGTGTAATTAAGATCATTGGTAGAATTTAACTTACAATTCTTTGTGATTCTAGCTCAGCATTCAGTTTGATTTCGTTGGCTTCTGCCTTGAGTTTGGCAACTATTATTCATTCATGAAAATAAAAGAAGTACATCAAGTAGACTGTCAGTCGTTGGTGCGGGAGGTCAACATACAGAATAAATAGGCAACGCATGAAAGGGATGAAAAGCTGAATGATAAAATGGAGTGAATATATATACAAACGATGAATAGAATTAAAAAACTGAAGGATTCATATTAAAAAAATGAACCAATGACTACATGAAATAGGGAAAAAAGAGAGGAAGGAAGGAAGAATGGAAGGGAGTAAAGAAGGGAGGGAGGGAGTGGAGAGGACGGGAGCAAGCAAAGAAGAAAACAGTATATTTTTGGGGATAATTGAATCTTACGCTCTATAGCACTTTCTCCTTCAATCAGAGATCTTTCAGCCTTGGCCTGAAAACATGRAAAACACCCAAATCAACTCTAAATTAACCTTGCCAAGTGAGGTTTCATTACATGATAGTTGATGCTAACCTGGGCTTCTGCTTTAGATTGACCTGATGATTCTACTGCAGCCGTAACRGCTTGGAGTTCAAACAGAGTCTTACGAGCCTCTTCAGCTTCCTAAAAATATCATTGTCATAAATTGCTGTTGTGCATGTAATAACATCAAAATCACACGATAATAYACATGCCTTTTCATTCAGTAGTTTCTGTCTTTCCAATTGTCCTTTGGCCACTTGCTCTATTCGTTTGGCCTCGTGAGCAGCCGACAATTCAATGGATCTGCAAAGTGAATATAACAAGCACAAATTAGGTCTAATAAAAATCACCACAAGCCATATTACACGCTAAGTAAAGAGACTCACTTCGTAGAGATCTCTATGGCCATTTGAACAGATTTACTAAGGCTTTCTCTCATGTTACGATCAATAGGCTCAATRCTTTGTATGTCAACATTAGTAATAACCTGAAATGTGAACAATCACATAAGTATTCTTCGGCAGGCATTATAAGTGGAATAAATGAGTGAATGAATGAAATATGCAGAAATATGAAATACTGGAATTCAAATTCGACGAGCGCGCGTCAAAATGACTTTACCCGCGCGATTCTAGGCTTTTAGTAGCTCACGATATTGAACTCCATTTTATRGATGACTCACCAGTCTGTTAGCTTCAAAACATAGCTTAGTTTTGATATTTCCCTTGTCATCCTCGCCRAAAACTGCTTGCTTGATTATACGCACTGAGTAACGATGGAACTCGTCAAACGGGACTTGCGCAACCTTACCACGAATRCGACTAGCTATAAAAACATTTACAAAAAATCTTTTCTGAAACTAAAGCTTTTTTATTGTAATCTAAACCAGTAACTTCAGCTGCATTAAAATCATCCCTGTGTCATTCTCATTCATTCCCATTCTCTTATTTGTTCATTTATCCCAGAACTTCATAAGATAAACTTACCAATGTTTTTGCAGACAAAACCAATAAAGTCAGGTACCGAGAAAATAGCCTGTACAGCTTCAGGGTCCGTACGATCAACCTTAAGAAAAATATATTCTGAATCAAAGAAGTCCATTATAAGATTTGACAAGATCTTTATGGATGGAATCTTATGCAGGAGTACTTACGTCAAAAAAGTTATTCATTGCAATTTTGATTGCTAGTCTTGCATGGTCTGATGTTTCAACCTTGATGTAAAGAAAGTAATTTTAACATGATATCAAGAAAAAGTCCAAGAATTATTACCATTTAAAATTTTAGTATTCTATATGCCATATTAAATCAATCTTAGCATAGTAAAATACATATATTTGTGTCAGCTTTGTTGGCAAAAAATTGATTTGCAGGCATATGTGCAACAATACACTGTTAATGAAAACTTTTTTTTGTTAAATACCTCAAACAAGTCAGTGATAAAATCTGGTCCAAGCATTAAACAAATTGTTCGTAATGCATTTGGCCTCTTGGGTTTACCAGCTGTAAACAAATACGTCACTWTTAGTAATATTGAAAGAATCAATCAATAAGACCAAACATAACTAAAATGCAACAAATGATTAGCCTGGACAGCCTGTGCAACCTGGACAGCCTGTGCACTTACCACTCAGACTCAACACGTTGAAGTTCTCATGAGGGCCAAGGACAACCTATGGAACACACACACACTTCATCAATATCCCTGTGTTAACGATGTTTTGACTTMAATAACTGAATGGCATTCAAAACTCATACCAAGTCAGGTCCAAATATYACTCTTGCTGTCTTCTTCTGGTAATCATAAACCTAACAAAACATTTTAAACAATATTGGAATATTGAGAAAAAGCATTTCTCTCACATGAGGAATACTAATGTTAACAAGTACCTGGACTGCTGTGTTTCCAGGACAACGATAAACAACAACCCTTGTTTTGTCTCTACCCTATAAAATGTTGAATAAACATTAGAAGAGCTTGAGAAAACCTGAACAGCATGGTTGAATAGCAATAATTGCCATTTCACAAAATGTGAACTTGAGTTTTGGTAAAATTAATCAATGTAATAATTAAGATTGTCAGATAGATGTTTTCCATTGCTAACCTACCTCCCCCCTCCCTCCTCCAAACAAAAATCAAAAATGTACATATTACCTTTGAGGCTATCTTAGGATCAATAGACGATTCAAAGTATGCTAGTTTCCGAATATCTTCTGAMCCATGTCCACCACCCTTCCTAAGACAAAAACAACAACAACAAAAACAAAACAAAAAAATAAGTACACAAACAACAAAACAAAACTAGATAAAGCCTGATTTCTTTATGGATATTCCTGGTTGCACATAGTAGAGAGACGGAAATAACRTATTATGTATAACATCTTCCAGGCATTCTTTCTCAAAATAACTTTAATGACAGCTATCAATCACTCCTGTGAAGGATAACACCTACTGTAAAATTAGCTCAACATTGTCAGGCAGTTCTTTCTCCCAAAGTTCTTCATATGCCTTGAGAAGGTATGACTGAGGACCCATAACAGCACGAACCTGCAACATAATTGCAAAAATAATGTCCATCCATCACCATTGTAATTTCATGTCTGCAAATGATCATCTTTAATTGTAAACACAGATAACTTCACTACAAACTCCTATCACTTTGTC